TTAATTCTTCGAAGAAGCAATTTAAAAAAGCTTTAGTTCATCGGGTTGAAAAGTTTTCCAATAAGGAGGATTAAAATTGAAATGAATAGGATTTTTTTATTTTTTTTAAGAAAGGCTTTTTATAAAATATATTTATCTGGCATCAAGTATACGGATATAAATAGCTTTCTGTCACTATATTTATACACTTAAAGGTTTAAATATGGAACATGGAAGGGAATTTTTACGTTAATATATAAGTTAAAAGCAGTACAGTTTGCACATCTTTAATACAGGGTATTTCTGGTTTATTTATGCACAGTGGATTAAAATATCTTCTTTTTTATAAAAACATTTATTTAAGCTATTTGACTTGTGTCATAATAGTGCTATAATGCTAAAGTCAGATTGTCTAAAAAAATGTTTAAATAAATTATCTAATTAGCTAATTAGCTTTGTTAGTTTTATCAATTTTTAACCTTTTTTATTTGGCATAGCGAAATTGTTTTTTATTCTTTAACATTTATTTTTTATCCCTTATAACTCAAAAAGTGATAAATATGAAACTCACTTTATCACATACATTTTTATTTTGACTATAGAAAATTTCTTTAGGACTTACAATATAGAAAAGAACAGCAATCAACTTTCGATTTTTAAATGGAATGCCCTATATATTTTTACATATTTGGAATCCTGAGAAAATTCTGAGTCAGACAGCATCCTCAAATTGTCCTTTTTACGTTTCATCATCAGAAAATGTGTCATCATAAAGATCAATCTAGAGTGCTTTGAACTATCTTATTTTCTTCTAATGGATTCACCAAATGCCTGAAAAATGGAACTTGCCTTAGAAAGTTGTTATTCAGCTATTCCCAGCAGTCTAAACTTGTCAAAATTCGTTTTTCTCTAATAGTTCACAGCACTCTAGATTGATCTTTATGATGATGCATTCTCTGATGATGAAACGTCGAAAGGTCAATTTGAGGATGCTGTCTGATGTAAAAATATATAGGGCATTCCATTTAAAAATCGAAAGTTGCGGCGAAACCGGAAGTTCAAAAAATTAATTTTGTACTCTTTTAAGTGGCATTTTATATCCTTATTAACCATGCTAAATTTCATGTGTCTATCTTTATAAATAAAAAAGTTACAGGTGCGCCTATTCTCAGATACACCCGGTATATACAGGGTGTCCGGGAAAAGGAAGTCAATCCGTTAACCATATATTCTTTGAGTTAAAACAATAAGACTTTCATAATACCATTTTTCAATTTAGAGCTTCATGTTCGATATACAGGGCGACAAAGTTTGAAATTTAAAACTGATTTTTTTTAATAATTCGAGTAATTGATAAGATATTAAGTTCAAATTCGGTACACTACTTCAACATAAATAGTTACATTTTTTGAGACTAACAAAACAAAAAACAATTGTCAAATAATCAAAATAGGGGGGGTCCAGTACTCACTGACTCCCCCTATTTTTAGTACGTGCGCCAATGACTTCCAAACGGTATTTTTTCAGGTAATCATTTATTGTTAAAAAAAATTTGTCTCTTATAAAATTTTGATAAAATGATTTGTTTTAGAGATAATTTGTAAAGTATGTGTCAGTCCATTTCAAATCAACCAAAGGTTCTTCCCCCACCATCTCCGATTTTGATAATTTTTGGTAAATTTGTTTACCTCAATAAAAAACTCAAAAATCCCATATATGAATTTTTTTCGATGGGTGGTTTTTGTTTTATTGATTTTTGAAATTCAAAAAATTCCGATAAATTTGGGTACTTACAAAAATAGCGATATCTCGTAAACTATTAAAAGTAGAAAGGTGAGTGATGACTTATTTTAAAGGCCTATTAGAGACCTTTTTTATGATATATCATATGACCTAAATTTTTTCAAAAAAAAATTAAATTTCAAAAATTTGATATGGATTGACCCATACTTTACAAATTATCTCTAAAACAAATCATTTTATCAAAATTTTATAAGAGATAAAAAATGTTCAACAATAAATGATAACCTGAAAAAATGCCGTTTGGAAGTCATTGGCGCACGTACTAAAAAATAGGGGGAGTCAGTGAGTACTGGACCCCCCTATTTTGATTATTTGACAATTGTTTTTTGTTTTGTTGGTCTCAAAAAATGTAACTATTTATGTTGAAGTAGTGTACCGAATTTAAACTTAATATCTTATCAATTACTTGAATTATTAAAAAAAATCAGTTTTAAATTTTAAACTTTGTCGCCCTGTATATCGAACATGAAGCTCTAAATTGAAAAATGGTATTATGAAAGTCTTATTGTTTTAACTTAAAGAATATATGGTTAACGGATTGACCTCCTGTATATATATATATATATATATATTATTTATCTGTTTTTCTGTTTTTCTAGATTTTTGTATTTTTTTGTTATTTTGTGCAATTTTATTTTTATTGTATACTTTAAATATGGTTGTGGGTCATTTTCGGGAAACCCTGTATATTAAACATTTTATTTCTAATAAAATACCTGAGCTTATTTTCCAGCGAATTCTGAAACACCCTGTATATCTTTAATATAAAGTTGAAATATTATTATAAATTACAGTCAGCACTAGCAATGAATTTTAAACAAGGCTGCAAACATTAACCGTTGTTGACTCAAATTTAATGTGAGCTTCTTTGTCATTTGATTTACTTAATGGCGTATTAACGTGCTCAATTTTTACAGACTATCTATTAACGTACACTCACTTGCAAAATCGCATCATTTTAGTAAGTGTTCCTTTCATTAAATTAAGAATTTAATGAATAAATTAAAATTTGCGGGCAAACATGCTAAAAAACTTTTACCTACTCTTGTAAATTGCCTCTATAAAGTGGGAAAAATTTTACTTTGTAAAGTTATTCTTGAATGCCAGAATTTGAATTGCGAGCTTGGTTTAAAACTTTTTTTAAAGTATGTACCTTTATTCAATTAAACTTGGTTTAACTAAGTGTTTTACGTTGTCAAAATTAAAACTTATTTTGTTTAATTCGAATGTCAGTCGCATGCCAACAATCAATAAATAAAACTCACATTTCCAGGGACGGTTTAGCATACTTTCAGACACGTTCAACTGAAAAACATTGGAAAAATGTCACATGGCGTCATCCGTTATAAATTTCACGCTAAAACCCTGTCAGGAACAAGCTTCTAACATTTATTTTGACTCTTCGTGGCTCCCAACGTTATCCTTTCAATGAACATTTTTGTTTTTATGCCATAAATGTTATATTACCCTAATTATAAAACCTAAAGTTCTTTGGCTACAGAAATAATTATATCACTCTTATATACCACTTAAAGAGCAGATTTGAGGAGTTTATAAAAGTTATCGTTACCTGTGTTTAGAAACACTATAAAACCCAAGTTTTATAACTAGAGATGACAGAAATATTTTGGAAACTATTATATAACTTCTTAATATGTCTCTCTTCCACAGGCACATCCAGTTCATTTTTTTATCTGGACTGTTTTTTTTGTCAGGTTGGTTGCTTATGCCAGTTTGACTTAGTATTTTTAGTATTTAAAAATGGTACTTCTGCTAAAGAATTTAATTAAATACTTTGACACTGTCAAATTGACAATAATATTTACTATTGATAATTTACTTGTCAATTATAAATAAAAAGATAATTATGCCAAAAATAATAGAAACGAATTCGAATGTTAAAGCCCTTTTGAGGGCAAAACTTTATTTTGATGAAATTATGTCAAATGCCACAATGGAAGAAAAAGTACATCGCCTTATGGACAATTTTGGAGTAAAAAAGTAACGAATTTGGTTTTATAAATATTACATCACACATTATTTTCACATTATTCACCATTGGACAACAATTACGTTCACAAAAAAATTTAAATTTCTTTTATATAAATTCTTTTAAAAGCGAAGATTATTATCCGCTAGGAATACTTTCTCTCCTGGGCCGTAAAGCAACCTATATTTAACTACTTTTTTATATGATTTTACTCATCCAAGCACCACCAAAGCCAAATTAATTGCATTTTTAACTACGAATTTCGACAACTCAACTTGACAACTTCACAATGTAAATTACAATAATTTATACATAACCACAATTAGATTTATAACTAGATTAGTTTGTTTTAATCAATGCGACCAACTTGACAACTGTATTTACCAATCAAAACCCTAAATTTGCAACGTTGCCGCAGTCCAGATAAAAGAAATGAACTTTACTTATTTTCACTCTTTGTTCACATCTTTGTTATTGTCATCCTATACATTAAGGGACTTGTTTGAACCACATGAATAGAGAAGCTAAGCATGGCTTTAATATTAATGTTATATAATTTATATCTAAGATTTACTGGTTTGGTCAATTAAGTTATTTTTGTAATAAAATTCGATTTACATTTAGATTATATAAAAAACAATCATTGCGGAAAGAATGTATCAACCCTAAGGCCTTTTATATTGCTTATAGTAATTGTATATAACCTAAGGTATTAGTTAGGTTTTATAGTAGTATCTAGGTTACTTACTCTTACATAATGTGATAAAACTTTTGATAGGCAACCATCTAACCCCTAAATCTGCAGTTTTAATGATTCTGATAAAATCAATTCCTATAAACTAAATTTAATCCACTTTTAAAATATTTATCTTAATAAATGCTAAATATTATATTATCAGCCAATTGTTAATTAAAATTTTAAATGTTATTATGACTAATTTTTTTAATTACTAAAGATTTCTGCTTATTTAGCGCATAAATATAACTCACAATTTTTATATATAAAAAAATTAATGGCACAATAGTTTTATAAAACAGGTAACCGTAAACTGTATAAAACATTTTTATAAGTTCATATAAACCTACTGGTAACGGTTACTATAGGTTATATAAAATGTTTGTAGAAACAATGATATAACCTAATTATATACCTGGAGGTTACAGTAACCTTATATCACCTCTATAAAACTCGTAAACTTAATGGTAATTTTAAAAAACCTTGTTATACGTTTATATACTTTGACAACCTTTATATAACTTATCGTTACCATAAGTAGTACAAATTGTTTATTGGGCTTTTTACAATATTGTTTATGTTAGTTTTCTCACTTGTTTCCACCATAAAATATAATTAATCATCATCATCTTGCTCGTTATCTTCAGCGCTAAAATCATCTTCCGTCTTCATCTTTTCATAAGTCTTATACTCGTCCAATAATCCCCTCATATTTTTATCTGCTTCGTTAAACTCCGACTCCTCCATGCCTTCGCCTGTGTACCAATGCAAAAAAGCTTTCCTGCGCAACATGGCAGTGTAAGCGTTTGAAACGCGCCTCCATACATCGCAGATCGCAGTGCTATTGCCTATGAAAGTGGCGGCTATTCTGTAGCCACGCGGTGGTATATCGCAGATGGCCGTTTTGATGTTATTCGGTATCCATTCGACGAAGTAACTGCTGTTTTTAGCTTGTATGTTCACCATTTGTTCGTCCACTTCCTTTGTGGACATTCTTCCGCGAAATATGCATGCCACAGTGAGGTATTTACCGCGGGTCGGATCACAGGCGCACATCAAGTTCTTGGCGTCGAACATTTGGTGGCACAGTTCCGGTACAGAGCCCGATTTGTAGGGCAGATTAGCGCGTGATATGCACGGTACGAATCCAGTTATAAAGAAGTGCAAGTTAGGAAATGGCACCATGTTGGTCTTGATTTTTCTCAAGTCCGAATTTAACTGACCAGGGAATCTAAAACAGGTTGTGCATCCTGACATAGCTTGCGATATGAGGAAGTTGTAATCTGCATGTGTGGGATGAGCTAGCTTTAAGTTATAAGTGCAAATTTCGTATAGGGCTTCATTGTCGAGAAGAAAACATTCGTCTGGAAAGTCTACCAAATATTGCATACTGAGTACAGCATTGTAAGGCTCCACCACTGTGTCGGATACCTTTGAACTCGGTGCCAACGAAAACGTACAAACAATTCTATCCGGATATTCTTCCCGTAACTTTCTAAGCAGTAAGCAACCAAATCCAGATCCAGTTCCACCACCCAGGGAGTGTAAAACTTGAAAACCCTGCAAAAAATCACAACCCTCGGCTTCTCTTCTCACCACATCCAAAACTGCATCAGCTATTTCTGCTCCTTCAGTGTAATGCCCTTTCGCCCAGTTATTCCCAGCGCTCTGATTGCCAAATATAAAGTTATCTGGTCTGTACAATTTCCCGAAAGGTCCATTTCTGGTTGAATTGCCCGTACTTTTATCTAAATCCACTAAAACAGCTCGCGGTACAAAACGATTCCCTGATGCTTCATTGAAGTATACATTGATTCTCTCCAATTGTAGATCGCTGTTTCCGTGGAATCTACCACCGGGGTCAATGCCGTGTTCATCCGAAATTACTTCCCAGAACTAAAAAGTGAAATTAATATTTTTCTGGTTTAAGGTTTGTAAATAGTAAATACTCTGTTTCCTATTGCATTTCCGGCTTGTCCTAGTTGAATATGTACTATTTCCCTCATAATTTATGCTATTTTTAAACTTGGAATTTTGATACAAGAATTTAGTCTTTTTGTTTATGTAAAATTTGACAATGTCAAACACTGATACCTAAATAATGTCGAATTGATTTTTATTTGGCATACTGATTGTCCACAAAGTACAGACGCTGACAAAAATGTTTTACCTTTTAAAATAAGTAAGTATCACAATTTTGTGTGGATTATGATTTTTAAACCATTTTTTTTTACAAAAATATGGTAAAAAAACTTGACCAAATCGATTTATTATATCTAGACACCCAACAGCTCCCTCAAAAAATCCTGAAAAATTTACAATATGCCTTTTTGTACGTTTTGACAGACGAAAATTTTGGTAAAAAAAAACAATTTTTATTATTACCCCGATTAAGTTAACAAAAAGACTCATATCCATATAAAATTTTCCGTAGAGTTCGTTTTCGGCCCCAGATCGGCCCTATATCCCACGGTTTGGGCCCTATCGGCACTTTACTGTTTTTAAACTTAAAACAGCTGTAGCGCCGAAACGAGAGCACATAGAGCATTTTTGGGCTCAGTTTCGTGATCCACGCATGTTAATTGATCTAGAAAACGTGTTTTTAAACCATTTTATTTTTTACAAAAATATGGCAAAAAAACTTGACCAAATCGATCAATTTTCACAAATTGGTCATGGTCTCTGATTTTAATAAAGTATGTCGTACCCTATGTAAAATTTTCCCCGGAATTTGAAAATCGATACCGCTGACTCGATAAATTACCGGCTTGCCCGCAATCTTAAAAAAACTGCTTTGAAAAATCAAAAAATGGCCGTAGCGCCTTTATGGAACGGTTTTTGATAAAACTGGTAGCAGTTTTGGAATCTACGACCTTGATTTAGTATATCTAGACACCCAACAGCCCCCTCAAAAAATCCTGAAAAATTGACAATATGCCTTTTTGGACGTTTTGACAGACGAAAATTTTGGTAAAAAAAAAACAATTTTTGTTATTTCCCGGATTAAGTTAACAAAAATACTCATACCCATGTAAAATTTTCCGTAGAGTTCGATTTCGGCCCCAGATCGGCCCTATATCCCACGGTTTGGGCCCTATCGGCACTTTACTGTTTTTAAACTTAAAACATCTGTAGCGCCGAAACGGGAGCACTTAGAGCATTTTTGGGCTCAGTTTCGTGATCCACGCATGTTAATTGATATAGGGAACGTGTTTTTAAACCATTTTATTTTTTACAAAAATATGGCAAAAAAACTTGACCAAATCGATCAATTTTCACAAATTGGTCATGGTCTCTGATTTTAATAAAGTATGTCGTACCCTATGTAAAATTTTCCCCGGAATTTGAAAATCGATACCGCTGACTCGATAAATTACCGGCTTGCCCGCAATCTTAAAAAAACTGCTTTGAAAAATAAAAAAATGGCCGTAGCTCCTTTATGGAACGGTTTTTGATAAAACTGGTAGCAGTTTTGTAATCTACGACCTTGATTTAGTATATCTAGACACCCAACAGCCCCCTCAAAAAATCCTGAAAAATTGACAATATGCCTTTTTGAGGAACGCCTAAATGCAGGAATGGGCTCCATCTTAATATAATTTTTGCGTAAAATAAAACAAACCAAATCAAACCAAACCCAACCAACCCAACCCCCCGTAACCGCCCTATTGAAGCCTAACCACCCTATTGAAAACGATTATTCCATCGAGCATTGCCCTCTATCTCGAACTTTGTTACCGATGGAATAATCGTCTTCAATAGGGTGGTTAGGCTTCAATAGGGCGGTTTACGGGGGGTTGGGTTGGTTGGGTTTGGTTTGATTTGGTTTTATTTTACGCAAAATTTATATTCAGATGGAGCCCATTCCTGCATTTAGGCGTTCCTCCTTTTTGGACGTTTTGACAGACGAAAATTTTGGTAAAAAAAAAACAATTTTTGTTGTTTCCCGGATTAAGTTAACAAAAATACTCATACCCATGTAAAATTTTCCGTAGAGTTCGATTTCGGCCCCAGATCGGCCCTATATCCCAGGGTTTGGGCCCTATCGGCACTTTACTGTTTTTAAACTTAAAACAGCTGTAGCGCCGAAACGGGAGCACTTAGAGCATTTTTGGGCTCAGTTTCGTGATCCGCGCATCCTAATAGATATGGGGAACGTGTTTTTAAACCATTTTATTTTTTACAAAAATATGGCAAAAAAACTTGACCAAATCGATCAATTTTCACAAATTGGTCATGGTCTCTGATTTTAATAAAGTATGTCGTACCCTATGTAAAATTTTCGCCGGAATTTGAAAATCGATACCGCTGACTCGATAAATTAACGGCTTGCCCGCAATCTTAAAAAAACTGCTTTGAAAAATCAAAAAATGGCCGTAGCGCCTTTATGGAACGGTTTTTGATAAAACTGGTAGCAGTTTTGGAATCTACGACCTTGATTTAGTATATCTAGACACCAAACAGCCCCCTCAAAAAATCCTTAAAAATTGACAATATGCCTTTTTGGGCGTTTTGACAGACGAAAATTTTTGAAAAAAAAAACAATTTTTGTTATTACCCGGATTAAGTTAACAAAAAGACTCATACCCATGTAAAATTTTCCGTAGAGTTCGTTTTCGGTCCCAGATCGGCCCTATATCCCACGGTTTGGGCCCTATCGGCACTTTACTGTTTTTAAACTTAAAACAGCTGTAGCGCCAAAACGGGAGCACTTAGAGCATTTTTGGGCTCAGTTTCGTGATCCACGCATGTTAATTGATCCAGGGAACGTGTTTTTAAACCATTTTATTTTTTACAAAAATATGGCAAAAAAACTTGACCAAATCGTACCCTATGTAAAATTTTCCCCAAAATTTGAAAATCGATACCGCTGACTCGATAAATTACCGGCTTGCCCGCAATCTTAAAAAAACTGCTTTGAAAAATCAAAAAATGGCCGTAGCGCCTTTATGAAACGGTTTTTGATAAAATTTGACAATAGAACTGCCAACAAAGAACGAAACAAACGTACCTCACATAAAAAATAACTCTATTTGTATTTTTAAAGGTACCTTTTATAATATTTAATAACAACTTTGAAAATGGTTTGTATTGGTTTTGATAAAATAAAAATATTACTTAATTGATTTAGTTTTTTCCTGGAAAAAAGTTGCTAAATGTTCTGGACGCTAATAAAATAAAGTTGATTGTCCTTTAGGTCAAGGTTAGAGGAAATGAGAGCCCCAACAGTGTTCGAGTTAATTACTCCTAGTAAGAAATGGAAATTATAACTTTAAGGACACGATATTTTTATTTATGGCTTTAGGAAAATCGTATAGCGGAAAACTATAAAAATGCAAATCCATTTGCTTGTCAGGTTGTCACATTGATTTTAGGATCGGAATATGTATTACGTGAAAAATCTCGGAAGACAGTTTTTATGGAGTTAAATCAAAATTTGCCAGAGCAAAATATTTTAAATAATAACTGACATTTTCTAATGACTTATATTCTTAGCTTGGCAAACATTGGACCCAGATATTAATTAACTCGGTACACACCACTGGAAGCGGACAGAATAATAATTTAAAATTAGAGGGTAAATTTAAGGAACTTTAATTAGCAATAAATTGTTGGTGTAAATTAAACACAATAACGTAATAAATCGATTTTCATACGGATGCATTCGTCATTTTTCTACATATTCTATGTTTTGTCATGGATTTTTTATTATTATGAAATAATTTAACCCCATTTTTGTAAGGTATTAAAATTTAATGTTCGATTAAAAACAAATTAAAATTTAAATAAAATGTTTTTTTAGTTACTTTAGGGCTTCAGTGATGACCCTACGATTATTGCAAAATTTTCATTAAGGAATATAACCAAGTGTAAAATAATACTGGACGCCTCTGACAAACAATAAAAATAAACATTATTTTTAAGAAGCTTGCCTAATTTAAATTTCTAACAAATTGTGCTATAAATATTTGAAAAAAGCACCTAATAGCACGCACGCCCTTGGTAAAGCGGTTCGGTCATTTTATTGCTAAAATATGTGCTATTTTAGATAATTTTCACAACCCAAACTTCACTAAAACTTCTGAAACTATTTAAAAAAAAAATTTTTTAGGAATCACCACGAACGATAGCATAATGTGTCTTTAATACACTATTATAAAGTGGGTTTCTCGTATCGATAAATAAATTGTCTAAGGCTATAAATTTAATATTTTAAGTGTTGTTTTCCTACTTGCGAATCATAATTGAAGGGGCAAGTGGATGAATTGGTTAATTAACATTTTTAATAATAATGCAATACCAAATTTATTTTTATATTCAATTACAATATTGTTTGTTTTTTTTTCAACTGAAATGTTAAATAGATAAAATAAGTTTTTTCTACTAGCGTGCGCAAAGTAACACTTACCGCACCCATTTGAGTGCGCAAAGTTGAACTTTTCTACAGGCATGTTGTAGTATGTTGATTTTAGACAAAATCAAATTTAGTTAGTTACTTAGTTTCCATGTCAATAAGTGTCAAACAAAAATTTGAATTTGAGTCTATATTATAAATTAACATCATTTATAAAAAAGTCCAAAATTTTTGAGAAAGATGACATTTCAAGATTCATTAAAGAAGCAGCAGATGAAATTTTCTTTTTAATAAAAGTTGCCACTATTTTTGGGTTGGCTGGTGCTTCTAGGCGAGAAGAGCTCTCAAAGATTGATGATAAAGAAAATTTAGTAATCGTGAATATTTCACATCAAGAATCTTTGTGATATCTGATGAAATCAATAATGGTCAAATGGTCAAAAATATTCAAATTTGCGAAAACCAAATACCCCACACAAGCGGTTTTTTGTCAATTATAAAAGAAGAGCATGGCACTACCCAATGTGTAGGAATTAATACATTTGGTAAAATGCCTGCACAAATAGCTGCATATCTAAAACTTAAAAATCCTTAGGAGTACACAGGTCATAGTTTTCGTAGATCCTCCGCTACCATATTAGCCGATTCTGGGGAAAGAATTTCCAATGTTAAGCGACTTGGAGGCTGCAAATCAACGGCTGACCAAAAAAAAATATCAAATAAAATATTGGACATAAAAAACGGCTCTTCTTTAGTAAATAGTACAAGTCACCAGTTGAATGAATTAACCTTTAATTTTTAACTTTTAATTAACCAATTAATTTATAAAATATTAATAATTGTTTCTTTGTAATTAAAATTAATAAAAATTAATTTAATAGGTAATCATTGTTATATAACTTTGCGCATGCTTGTAGAAAAAATATTGTTCCTAACACATGCGCAAATGTAACTTTGCGCACTTGTTAGGAGAATAACTATTTTAAGGGTTAATTTAAAAATACTTTTTTGACAAAAAATATGAATATATTTATAAATAAATCTAAAAATTATTTCGCGTATTATAAAAAAATATATTTTATAGAAATTTTCAAGAGCTTAAGCTGGCAAATTTGCCATTTAAAAAAATTGAATTGGGGTGACTACAGCCCCAGGGGTTGCTTAGTAAAGGTTTTATGGTCATCAAAACAGTTTTGAGAAATTTTTGATATCTTTTTTAACAGACTTATAGAGTATTCCTCATTCTTAAATGTTTAAATTATTTTTATCAAAGATTCAAGGTGAATGTTCCCTTAAATATAAAAAATATAACACGAGGTAGATTTTGCCGGCTTTAAGGATAGTCAGTGTGGGATAGGATAATGTTCAAAGACGGCAAGAGACAAAGCCAAAGTACCCATTTTAACATATTACCCTTTGGTAAATTTAGTTTTGAGGAATTTAGTTTTGATAAAAAAACTTGAACAAAACGAAATTAAAAAATTATATGGAAATTTAAAAAGGTTAAAAATAATAAGTTGTTTTCATTAAATATTCTTCTGCGTAAAATCTTGAGATCATTGACGCTACTTACTTAATAAAAACAACAACAAACTTTTATGGCTTATTTCTATTAACACGTCTAACTAACTAATGTATTAATACTCAATAAAAAACCTATAAATGAATAGAAAAAATCCTTGTTTACAATATTTTTTTTGTTTTCAGTGATAATTGGAATTTGCTGGTTCGCCGGTACATTCATTGGGTTTCTTCCATTGATGGGATGGCACAAGGACGCGCCTTTGGACGGGCATTGTTTCTTTTTGGACGTCATGGACTACAATTATTTGGTCTTCCTTTATTTTGGTACCATTATAACCCCGGCCATACTCTTGGCCGCTTTTTACGCTCATATATACCAGGTGGTTCTTAAGCAGGTAGGAATATGTAGAAACTTTCTAAACTTAGCAATTTTTATTAATTATGGTGAATTTATAATTTTTGTGTTTTTTAATAGATTTTAAATGTTTCTAATATTGTTTCCACCTTTAAAACATATTTTCAAGGGATAAATTTTGATTTACACAACAAAATTTGAGATTTTAACGCTGGTAGATTCCCAAGTTTGAAATTCTAACGGGAATTCCAATAAATACAACATTTTCTAACATAATCATATTTTAAAGTTATTTTAATATTTTAAAGTATCAATAATTGTTAAGTTTAATTATAATAATAACGGTCAATGTTAATGAAGAAAATTAGGTCAAAAATGTTTATTAGGATGGTTACTTTATTTTCGTATAAATGTCGCTTTATACAAATACAGTATTTGTCTTTGAAAAAGTACAGTATATACTGCATATGCAACTCGCTTATAAACTTTTCCAGGCACTCATTTAATTAAATTAAATTCGTAAATAAAATGGCATTTAATAAACTTGATACATAATCTACCATTATAATTAAGCAGGCAAAATAAACTTTATTAGGGCAATAAACTCATTTTTTTATTTATTTACTTTTAGCCACCACTGTATATTAATATAGTGTATATGCAAAATTGTAGATAGTTATGGGGAATTTGCAAAAAAATAAAAAACATTTTTTATAAATCATAAAAATTGAAAAACTATAATTATATCTACAATTTTGCATATACACTATATTAATATACAGTGGTGGCTAAAAGTAAATAAAAAAATGAGTTTATTGCATTAATAAAGTTTATTTTGACTGCTTAAGGTAACGAGTACCCGCTCTTAAGTTTGAAATATCTGTAGTTACTCATCGGCGCTTTAGGCATTAGGTAAATTAATAAGGAGTAAAAAGAGCCGAATGTTGCGATAACAAGCGGAATCTTCTTTTTTACCAATAGTCGCATACAATATTTTGTCCCACTTCCACTTAGAATTGAGACATTATAAGCTCGAAAACAATGGACAAAGTAAGCTATTGTTACACTAGTTGAACAATGAAAATATTGTACCAATAGTGGAACAATGAAAAAGCAGTAGAAGAAGACAATAATTGTTAATATTGTTGACAATTATTAACATTAAATTACAGCTATTTTTGATACATACTTATACATAAATATGATTTTAAGCATTGTTTTCATACTTGAAATTAAATTTTAAAGGCAAATAGGTAATCCCAATAAACATATAAAGCAATGTTAAAAAACTTAACCTTAAAACCAAAACACTTATGGATCTGACAGATCTGTCAAATCATTTTTACAAAAAAGTATTAATATTGATTTAATTTTTGATTTGATTGTGGGACAAAATATTATGTGCAACTCGTGAAGAATAGTCGATTATAAACTCGCATTCTTGCTTGACTTGTTGCACAATATACTATTATGCAAGAAATTTAAAGCAAATGCTATTTGATATTTTATCTGACATCTAAAGCTAACTTAAGCCCCCGGTTTAAGTTAAGAAATGAACATTCAAGAAAATAATTATTTCTTCCACCCTCAACAGGACAACATATTTGTTGCGGATGTTAAATAAAAGCTGCAGCATATTTACATCTCATACAAACACAAAATAGGTTTAATATTCCTTAGAAGTATTTTTTTAAAAACCTTTAAATTTGTTTTTACAAATTAGCCCTTTCTTTTTTTTCTGTTGCCATGATGGTCTAATTTGGCTAAAATTCCAGTTTAATAAAATAAAAAAATATATTTATATAATTATCTAACTTTTTAACAAATTTTCTTTGATTTTTTAAACATGATTTTTTAATGCTTTTTTTAATATTTTTTAACAAATTCCGGTAATTTCGAAGCATTTAATGTAATTAATGTTTTATCCAATTGGAAGTAACTTTAAATAATTAATTTTTAATTTCAGATAAGACAAATTGTCACGATGAACCCGGACAAAAGCGGATCGACCAGTGGCGGAACAATGCTAAGAATCTTGGGGGCAGCCCAAACCAACGAGGTGAAAGCCACGCAAAATCTGGCCATCATAGTTTTATTTTTCATGATCTGTTGGATACCATTGTACACAATCAATTGTGTTATAGCGTTCTACCACGACTTCCACGTAAATCCCACTTTCATGTTTTTCTGCATTATTTTGTCCCACTTGAATTCGGCCATGAATCCACTTTTGTATGCGTATCATTTAAAGGACTTCAGGTTGGCGTTGAAGAATTTTTTCCTGAACCTTTTTGACCATCAACGGTATGTTTTTTATATTGACGTTTATTTAAAAAATAACACTTTTTGTTTTAGGTATTGTGATCAAAGGATGGCCCAGCTGTATAACAACAATTACAGTCAATACTTCGCATCGAGAAAAAGATCTAGTAACTTATCATCAGACATAAATCGACTTAATTTTAATAGGAGAGTTTCCACATCAGGAAACCCTGCAAAATTATCCAGCATAGTCAAAAACCCGACTTCAGTAGCAGCGGCTACAGCAGGTCAAAACAGAGACATCTGGAATATCACTGAACATTCAGAATCATCAAAATCATCTGAAGATTCAATTAAACAAACCGATAAGATGATTATGATAAGACCTGCAACTCCTTTCAGGAGTAAAATTATCAATGAAAACAATTCTGCTTTCATCCATTTAGAATGTGATGATGTGTTTCTAGATGATACTCTTCCATTCCACAACACATCTCTTGAAAATTTCGACATAGACATAGATCTATCAGATAAAATTATTAGAAAAACACAAATTCAAAGTGTCCCAATGAGAAAGTTGTCCCTGTCTTCCCCTCAGCTATCCAGAAACCTTTTCATAGTAGAAAGTGAACGAAAAACCATTGAAGACTTTAAATACACCAGCAGAATCAAAGTGAGCCCTTTCAAAGTAACGAACATCTTCAAAAAAGGAAGATTACATCGGAGTTTAAGTGACGAGGGTAACGCTTCTTCCGAAAATTTACATAGGAAATGTAAAAATGGTGTTGCAACTAGGGGCTCTTGCGGCAGCTAGAAACCAAAGTCCAGTTTGTTCTATATGTAATATTGTTATATAAAGTCTGATATTTTGTTAAGTATATGATAGCTCAATTATTTTTCAATGAATGTAATGTACCCAAAGATATTTTTCATAATGTTAATTTTTTATTGTGATGTTTATATAATTCCTACTTAACATAATGCTTTTTCTGTGACATCCATTATAATAAAATTAAAGATGACGGGCAAAGATTTAATTCTTCACATATACTGTTTTTTTCGATAAGCCATAACCAATAAACTAATGTTAATTTATTATAGTTACTTTGTATATTTTGTTAAATTTTTGGGGAAATATGCGCTTAAATCATTTTATTTCACACATTTGGATCTTTGCCATTCAACTTCATTGTATTTATTGCTTACACGATTTTCATATTTTCAACAAACACGTCAGTATTTATTATTGTTAATAAATGTATTAATAATTAATTTGAGTTTTATTGAGGATGAAATAAAAGACGTTGTAACTTAATAAATACTTATTATATTTTTATAAAAGTCTTATAATATATTGATCTAAGTCTATTCAACAATATAAACAAATTATGTAGACTTACATAAAACCATTTTGTTAACTTTAAGTACGAACAAAATTAAGTACAAATTAAAAATACTGTTTGTACAAGATTACAGTTAAAAATTCCACCAACCCAATTAATTAATTATTAAATAATTATTCAGTAAATCACAAAAAACGTGGCAAAATATTATTACTAAAACATATTGTGCATAATAATTGAGCTACTAAGTTGGCAAATAGTTAAAAACGCTTTCGACGATGCTGTACGATAAAATCACAAGAATTTAAATTATTTAAAAAAAATTGTCAAGATACCCACTAATGTTTAGGTACAAGGTTTTTCCGGATATCTCAACAAAAATATAACAATTAAATGTTATTTTTAACATTATTTTAGTGCCGGAAAGGCAATAAATATAAGATAAATAATTTTTTCTAAACCTTTTTAACCATCAACGGTATGCTTTTTTATATTATAAGGTTTAGGCCCAGCTGTACAACAACAATTACAATCAATATTTCGCATCGAGAAAAAGATCTAGTAACTTAACATCAGACATAAATCGACTTAATTTTAATAGGAGAGTTTCCAAAGCAGGAAACCCTGCAAAATTATCCAGCATAGTCAAAAATCCAACTTCAGTAGCAGCGGCTACAGCAGGTCAAAACAGAGACATCTGGAATATCACTGAACATTCAGAATCATCAAAATCATCTGAAGATTCAATTAAACAAACCGATAAGATGATTATGATAAGACCTGCAACTCCTTTCAGGAGTAAAATTATCAATGAAAACAATTCTGCTTTCATCCATTTAGAATGTGATGATGTGTTTCTAGATGATACTCTTCCATTCCACAACACATCTCTTGAAAATTTCGACATAGACATAGATCTATCAGATAAAATTATTAGAAAAACACAAATTCAAAGTATCCCAATGAGAAAGTTGTCCCTGTCTTCCCCTCAGTTATCCAGAAACCTTTTCATAGTAGAAAGTGAACGAAAAACCATTGAAGACTTTAAATACACCAGCAGAATCAAAGTGAGCCCTTTCAAAGTAACGAACATCTTCAAAAAAGGAAGATTACATCGGAGTTTAAGTGATGAGGGTAACGCTTCTTCCGAAAATTTACATAGGAAATGTAAAAATGGTGTTGCAACTAGGGGCTCTTGCGGCAGCTAGAAACCAAAGTCAAGTTTGTTCTATATGTAATATTGTTATATAAAGTCTGATATTTTGTTAAGTATACCTATGATAGCTCAATTATTTTTCAATGAATGTAATGTACCCAAAGATATTTTTCATAATGTTAATTTTTTATTGTGATGTTTATATAATTCCTACTTAACATAATGCTTTTTCTGTGACATATCCATTATAATAAAATTAAAGATGACGGGCAAAGATTTAATTCTTCACATATACTTTTTTTTTCGATAAGCCATAACCAATAAACTAATGTTAATTTATTATAATTACTTTGTATATTTTGTTAAATTTTTGGGGAAATATGCGCTTAAATCATTTTATTTCACACATTTGGATCTTTGCCATTCAACTTCATTGTATTTATTGCTTACACGATTTTCATATTTTCAACAAACACGTCAGTATTTATTATTGTTAATAAATGTATTAATAATTAATTTGAGTTTTATTGAGGATGAATAAAAGACGTTGTAACTTAATAAATACTTATTATATTTTTATAAAAGTCTTATAATATATTGATCTAAGTCTATTTAACAATATAAACAAATTATGTAGACTTACATAAAACCATTTTGTTAAATTTAAGTACAAACAAAATTAAGTACAAATTAAAATACTGTTTGTACAAGATTACAGTTAAAAATTCCACCAACCCAATTAATTAATTATTAAATAATTATTAAGTAAATCACAAAAAACGTGGCAAAATATTATTACTAAAACATATTGTGCATAATAATTGAGCTACTAAGTTGGCAAATAGTTAAAAACGCTTTCGACGATGCTGTACGATAAAATCACAAGAATTTAAATTATTTTAAAAAAATTGTCAAGATACCCACTAATGTTTAGGTACAAGGTTTTTCCGGATATCTCAACAAAATATAACAAATAAATGTTATTTTTAACATTATTTTAGTGCCGGAAAGGCAATAAATATGAGATAAATAATTTTTGTAAAACACTCAAAAGTATGTAATCTCAAAAACTAAGAATTTTTTAGATTATTTATTCTGCATTTATTCTTGATTAAGAATAATTTTAATCCTCTGAGTTTTTTTTCAAGAAGATTGCAGAATATATAAAATGAGCAAAGAAAGATAATAAATACAATTAGGTATTAAGGTTTAAATAAAAATACATAAACTTTACTCTCAACTCAAAATTCTTAGTTAATGAGATTATAAATTTCAAAAATTCGAATTTTTGGGCCATAATTAGATGTATAATAGGGTGTGTCATTTTTAGGCAACTTTTTTTTTCAACTAAAAAACAGGCTAAAAACTTTCAGGAAGGTGAAAAAAGAAACCTCTAAAAATTTGAGCTCTTAATATCAACAAGTGGTCCCTGTTCCTAACTTTTTTTTTCTTTTTTCTTATTTTTGTAGCTTGACATTTAAGCATTGTAAAAACGAACTGAAAAATTATTATGGTAGGAAATTGAACGCTCTACAAAAAAGTTTCAATATATTTTTTCATAGAGTGAGCCGTTCTGAAGGTATTCAAACTTAAAGTTGCCTTTAACATTACGAATCGCGGCACGTTAGCGTGCCTCTAGGTCCTGTGTAATCCGAACGGTAATACACCGACTGAGCCGATATAATCTTTTATCAGAATTATCGACTTTAAAATTATAAAAAATAAAGAAAGATTAAAAATTCAATACAATAACAAATTCATTGTTTTATTTAATCTATTATAATTATTGAACAAATTTATTAAACACAAATAACTTTTTTTGATAGTAAATAAAATAAAATGGAAAAAAAATTGAGATGTAAGTGTTATTTTATTTCTATACAAAAATAATTATTTTTTCTTAAAATAATTTTTAAGACATAAAAAAAGTATTAGTTTAATAAAATAAGTCATAATTTAATACATTTACAAGTTTGAATACCTTCAGAACGGCTTACTCTGTGAAAAAAATAAATTAGTACTTTTTTGTAGAGCGTTAAATTTCCTACCAAAATAATTTTTCAGTTCGTTTTTACAATGCTTAAAAGTCAAGATACAAAAATAAGAAAAAATAATTTTTTTTTTCCACGTTATTTAAATGGAAAGTTAGGAACGGGCACCACTTAATGTTATTATTAAGAGCTCAAATTTTTAGAGGATCTTTTTTCACCTTTCTGAAAGTTTTTATAGACCAGGGTCGATAATTTTTGAAACCAAAAAATATAACAGTAGGATGAAACCCATTGGAAAAGGAGAAGAATATAATAAAAATGAAAGGAAAAATAAATTACGGGCGATCTGACTTCGGGAAGTGGGTGGGGGGGGGTTTAAGGGTAAAAAATGGTTTATTTCGATTTCTGGCAAAACTACAAGTCCTATGGAAAAAGTTAAATGGCAAAGTTGTAGGTAATAAAAGGATCTACAACTTTTATAATTACAATTTTATTACATAACCTCAAAATTTATGTAAAAAATTCAAAAAAACAAGTTTTTGGTTTTTCATTTTTATCTTTTTCAAAAAAAAAAATTTTTTCACGAAATTTGGTGAAAACTTACCTTTTTATGTCCCAAATACACTATAATTTATTTGATTTGAAATATTTATTATTTCGCCTTATTTTGACTTAATATCAAAAAAGCACCCTAATTTTCAATCGAAAATTCTCGCGTCAAAATATCAGCTTTTTTCAAAAAGTCGGTGTGCTTTTTGTTCGTTGAAATCTCTACTTTCTGATGGTGTAAAAAAAATATACATTACTATGGTAAATATTCTCAGAAAATGCAAAAAATATTATAATGAATAACGAAAAAAACTTTAATTCGAAAATTTATTTTAATCATTATGTACAATTTCATCAAAAAAATGTGATTGTTGCAATTTTTTTAGTTAAAAAGTTTATGTATTAAATTCTAATAACATTTATGTCAGAAAATCTCATAAAATATAAAAATACATGTAAATCATACTATTGAATTTAGATACTTCATTCTGATTACGTTATTCATTATAATATTTTTTGTATTTTCTGAGAACATTTACCATAGTAATGTATATTTTTTTTACACCATCAGAAAGTAGAGATTTCAACGAACAAAAAGCACACCGACTTTTTGAAAAAAGCTGATATTTTGACGCGAGAATTTTCGATTGAAAATTAAGGTGCTTTTTGATATTAAGTCAAAATAATGCGAAATAATAAATATTTAAAAACAAATAAATTACAGTGTATTTGGGACATAAAAAGGTAAGTTTTCACCAAATTTCGTGGAAAAAATTTTTTTTTTAAAAAGATAAAAATGAAAAACCAAAAACTTGGTTTTTTGAATTTTTCACATAAATTTTGAGGTTATGTGAAAAAATTGTAAATACAAAAGTTGTTATCTACAACTTTGACATTTAACTTTTTTCCATAGGACTTGTAGTTTTGCCGGAAATCGAGATAAACCATTTTTTACCCTTAAAACCCCCCCCTCCCACTTCCCGAACTCAGATCGCCCGTAATTTATTTTTCCTTTAATTTTTATTATATTCCCCTCCTTTTCCAATGGGTTTCATCCTACTGATATTTTTTTTCTCTTTTTACTATTTTTAAAGGCTCAAAAATGACACACCCTAATGTATAACTTAAGATTTTGTGCAGGCTTTCTTCATATTTATTCACATAACTGCATCTCCACCTGCCTTAAACCGCTTACAACTTACACAAACAAAACAGGATGGGAATGAAAGCCCCGATCGCAATGAAAAGCGGCAGCATGATGGAACTTTCGTCCGACTCGTACGGATCGGGTTGTTTGGGGCCGCTGGCCCTCGGCCTCACTTTCGGGGCCTCGGGCTCCTCTTTCGGCGGAGGCGCCTGTTGCTGTTGCTGCTGATCGAGCGGTTGCTGCTCGAGCGGGATTGGCGGCAGTTTGGGCATGTCGTCCAGGTCGCCCTTGATCACGTACATCGCGTTGATCTTCGGGTTGTCTTTGTAGCCTTTTATGAATTCCACGCGGATTCTGTTGCCGCGTATTTCGGATTCTTCGCCGTTCACGTTCAGGCGACCTAAAAGAGAATGTCAAGGGCTTATACGTTCGGTTATGTAATTTGCTTTGTAGGAATTTAAAGTAAATACTTTATACCATACAGAAACAAAATAAATTTATAAAACCAGATTTATATTTTTCTGATTTTAGATTTTTCCTCGTATTTTTATGCCTTCCTTTCTAAAAAAATTTCTCAATTTAGTTAAAAGTGGCTACTTAATTTGTTTTAAACACTAAATTTGATTTAGTTTTTATCGATTTTTTTAAAGAAAAACAATTTAAAAAAGAAGATAATTAATATTTTGTAGGTCGAGTTTGTACGTCGAGTTTTGCCAACCCTGCCGAAATTTGGGTAGATCTAAATAATCTAATGTAAATAATTCTACCCTCGATTCTACCGATCTATAGATCGGTATACCAATGTATATTTCCTAATTGAAGAGGCAAGTGGATAAATTAATTAAGTAACAGTTTAATAATAAAGGACAAAAATATGTATTGTATTTGTATATGTATGTCTAAATATCATTTAGAACACAATTAATTGTGTTTGTATAATAAACTCTAATTTTTAGTGCCTTTATTTAAATTGAGAAGGTAAGTTTATTGGTTTTAAGTAACTTAAAAACTAAAAGAATAAGATGAACGTAATTTTAACAGCTGTCAGGTTATTTTGTTTTGTATTTGAAAATAATAAAAATAAAAGGTTCGTAGAAAAAACTTTGTGTTTCACTTGTGAGAAAAGCTTTCTTCATGATCGTGTTAATGCACACTCGGCCTGACGGCCTCGTATGAAAAAGTCGCTTTTCAACACTTGTAAAACAAATAACTATTTTACCACAAATCATTAGATTTAAACAGCACAAGTATAAATTTATTAGTTTTTTAGATAAAGGAGTTTTAAATAAAAAATAATTAACAAGACATTTTTGGACTATGAAGAAGCACCTCAATTGCAATACGAAATTTATCTTTATTTATGAATATTATGTTCTTTTCAAATTGATTTTTAATTACAATTACAATATGTTTTGTCCTTTATTATTAAAATTGTTACTTAACCCCTTCAATAATTGTGAATAGTAAAAATAGTATTTATACATATGTAAAAATGAGGAATTCTAAAGAAGAAAATAAAATCCTGAATACGGCAAATAGAGCAAAAAATTTAAAACATACAAACTGCTAAATTTTTGTTTTTATTTGTTGAAAAAATATTCAACAGTGGATTTTTTTACTAAAAAGTATATAAAGAATTAAAATTAAAAAAAAAAATAATTTGATTAATAACTTGCCAACACTAAAATATAAACATACAAAAATTTAGCCAGGTATCGCTTTATTTTGTAAAATTTAAAAAAAAATTATTTTGAAGTAGAAACCTACATTTTTATAAAGAAAAATATAGATAAGTAGTACACAACGGGAAAACAAATAATTTTTATTATTTTAAATTTGCTTTTAATTTTAAATAAAATTTTCCTCTTGCGTTTTATTTTCAAAATATTTGCGTTTTTCCGTACCTAAACCTTTTGTAAATACTAGCCTACACAGGTTCTAAATTTAGAATTTTTTTACACCCTGTAACTTGAAAACGAAACCCCGTAAAAGCAGAACTTTATATAAAAAAAACAATTATTTTTTACTAAGAAATCTTCGAAATACTCTTTGAAATTTTCTCCAAACCTTTATATATATATTTTTTTTAATTCTTTTTATTAGTTTTTTTGTTGTCATTTTTAGAAATTTTTAGATTGATAATAAAAATTTTCGGTAAATTTTTCACATAAAAACAAATAAAGGAAGAAAATAATCTGTAGTATTTTAGGAATCAATAATTGAAGATTTCTGGGAAGAACTGTCTAAAAAAATAAAAACCGATTTTTAAGATCAAGAAATAAAAAAAAAATATTTTTTAAAAACAATAAGTTTGTCACAAATAGCTTTTTTCCTGAGATCTTTAATTGGTAGGTATTTTTGTTTGAAATATTTTTAAATATTTATTAAAGATCTCAAATCCAATCAAATCAAAATCATATAAGGTATTGAAATATAACTTTAAATCTAATAATTTGTAAATACCTATAGGTATCATAGGTATACCTAATTTAAAATGAAAACGTTTCTATTTTGTATCGCAAAATTGGACAGTTATATTCTTTTTTACCCCTATTTAGTATTTTTAATAATATAATTTATTTTGTATGGGTAGGTATATTTTAGGGGTCTAATATCAAACACAGCAAGTCCAATATTATTAGCAAATACCATCAAATTTATCAAAATTGTTTGATTCCAGTTAAAATTATTGAGTAAAAATATCATACCCAAGGTCGTCGAAGTTTAGATTATAATCCTTTTCTCCAATATACAAAAGCAAACAATCAATATGGAGTTTTGCAAAATATCTTCTTTATTTGTTACCCCCCCCCCCTCAAAGAAAAAATATCGACGCCCTTGGTATGATTCATACCTTATAATATTATTGCCCTATAAATATATTTTTAGTTTGAACGCTGTAAGTTTGATAAACATATCTATAGATTAGATAGTGTTTTGCTACCGCAACGTCATCAGCTATGCATTGCCCACCATTGTCGAGCGATGACGTTGCGGTATCAACTTACCACGTTTAAACTCTTTAATAGCATATTGATTAGTTTCTAAAAAAATTACCAAAATGGAATGATACTAGACCCATGATTTATCTAAATATTAATTTTTAATGTACATATATTATAAAAATAATTATGTAATAGGTATATAAAATATGCCTACAGAAATTTCAAGGAAAAATTTTGCATATTTTAGGAATAATAATATAAATTATGTAAAACGAAACACCTAGTACAATCTAGTATAAAACAGGAAATATGATAAGAATATTTTTATATTTTATAGGTAATATAATAAAATTCTATAAAAGAAATACAGCAAAATAATAAATTAAATCTTAATTCTTAGTCTTCACAAGACATTAAGGAAAACTACTAAGAAGTTAAAAATGAAAAGTTTACAAACCATATGCCATTAGGTACATTCAGTTAAAAAATTGCTGTAAAACTTAACCTTAAATTTAACTAACCTTTAGATATACTAAATGGTACATGCTCATCATGTGCGACACCTCTACCAACTTTCTCAAATATATCCAAATCAGTAACAATAGTGTGCTCTCCATTCAAAACGACATCGAAAACCTTCTGGTCAGGGGCATTGAAATAAACCTCACAAAACTTCAGTACCAAAACATAGTCCCCATCGCTATTCACGGGTATATCGTACCCAAAAGTGCTTGTATGGTATCTCTCAGTCTGGTACAGTATGTAATCATTGGGTGGCACTCGACCAATAAGCAGTCGCTTACCATAATCTGAAGCAATTCCAATTTTGCCATGCAAAGGGTCCCTTTCGTATCTGATCCCGTAGGCGTCTGTATGGGCCTCCCCGCCGCAATTAACGGCATAAATAAGCTGCCCCAAGCTGAAAACCTCAGCAGTGAAACATAACAACAACAAACAATGAACTAGCAACAACGTGGATATACAGTTTCTAATAATCATTTTTAATAGCCAAATAACGCACAACAACTGTTAAAGTTACAATTTAGCTAGGCAAACCACTATCACCGGTACATTTGAAATTTTGATAAGATCCACTTTTGAGGTTATACACTATTGACGTGTATGAAGTTTGCTAATCAACGCCACCTATACAGTGCAAACACAGGTTTAATTGTTAAACCATACAGAATTTTAACCTTTATATGTGGCGCCATCTATGCTGTAATAGCTTTACTACTGCTATACTATTTTTACTGTAATCTTGCGAAACAAAATATAAAATATGAAACAGTTTTTCTTATACTGATTTTTCTGGATAAAAAAATGTTATTATAAAAAGTAGCTAAATCTATAATTATATAACTGTTTTTTTTATTAAAAAGCTTTAAACTAATGCATACTTTTATTTATACCTCTGACCCCAGAATTGGAAACAGTTTTACTTTTGCGCCATCTACGGGATGGTTTTACTACGACTAAACTATTTTTGCTGTTATCTTTCGAAAAATATGAAAAATATAAAACAGTTTTCCTTATACCCAATTGAAGATACAAAATTTATATCATTTATTTATTTTTAAGTTAAATCTTAAAATAATTAGGTATAAGATTTGAAATAAAAAACTAAAGTTTACGTGTCCGAGCGTTTTTCATAAAAATCTTTTAATAGCTAATAATCTTAAATTTTTTGCCCCCGCCACATTATGCTCAGTAGTAAACCATATACTTAAATATTAGTTGAAAATTACCTACCTTTAAATTTAAAAATCTTGATTTAGCTTAATGACAAAATAAACGGTGGGCGCCGAAATGATCGATCGACGACGAAATATGTATAACTTTCCTGGTAGATTACAGCTATTAACCTAATGTTTTAATGTACAGCCGATTACTAAAGATTTACTAAATGATAGGGTTGTCCCCTAACGTTCCCTCTATGCACGCTAATGCGTCGCAGGGATGAAATGACAAAAGCCTTTAAACGGGGTGTAAAGCTCCATTTACATTACATCGCGACGTACCGATCGAGTAACTGATATTTATACACTGAGAAAAAGAAATATTTATTATTAAGAAATCAAAACAGTTGCGATTTTTTTAAAATATATGTTAACTATTGGAAATGAGATGTTTTTTATTTTTGCACGAACATTTAAGTTTAATATTAAATCCACTTAGGTATATTGGGTTATAAAAAAAACTAAAATTTATTTAAAACAATAATTTGTTTTAAATAAATTAGTATTTGAAAAATAAAATAAAATTAAAAATTATCTGTGCTTATGTTGGTATACCTGTAGGTACCTACACTAAAAATATTTGTTTAAAAAGGTAATTGTGGGTAAATACTGAGCATTATTTTCTATTTTTAGTTTGTAGGTACGTTGGCACTCTGGCTATAATATTTTTTTTTCAGTTCAGTTTTGTAATAAATACTTTCCAGTCCTTTCTATGTATATAAAGTAGATTTCAAATTTATCTTTTTTTTGAGACAAAATTTTCTCTCAAGAAATCTAACATTGACAAAACTCTAATACGGTTTGAAAAGCATACTTAGAAAAGCAATGCACGCAGTGCATAGCGGTGGTTTTGTTTTCTGTGTCATTAAGGCATTAACTACATGTGGCAACTAGTCAGAGGGGGAAACTGCCGTACTTATCACATCCCCTAATTGAGTTACTATAAATCCCTCGTTGCAACTTTACAACTTTATAATTTAATGTTTGCTTTAGACACAGGCAGTCTTTGTCTTGCAATAATAATAATGGCATTAGGAAGGAAAAATAGAAGAAGTATGCTTCTTCTAAGTTTGACAGGGATTGTTTATAATGTATATTTAAAAAAAATAAATAAGTACATAATAGTTATTTACGTGTCATTGACACGGTGTCAAGCTTTGTAAATGAATCTTTACGGGCGAGCTGGGAGTTTGTGGGGTGAGCGATGCAGGAGCGAACCCCATAATTCAGTGAGCCTAGTAAAGATTAATTGCAAAGCATGACACGTACAAACTTTTATTTTCACCTTAAGATAACGATTTTCAAATTTAAAATTTCAATTAATGTGTCAAATGTGTCATTTCATTAATTTATGAATTCATAAATTGCTTTTCTACAGGCCTGTAAAACTTTATAGGTCTTTTATACAAGACCATAAAATATTACAGGTCTGTGTTCCCATAATGTATCGTTTACTTGGATACAAAAACAACAAAATTAACCTATAAAATGTCATTTACTAAGAAGGTGGAAATAAAATCAATAACTACGTATTAAATTAACCAGGCAAAAAGGGGTAGGTCGTTATTTTTTAACGAAATTTTTGTTACAGTTTCTCTACCAAAATCGATACCCTGGTAGAAAATAACGTTTGCATACATTCAGACAACGTTGCAAATTTGTATAATAATTTGTTATACTCATAACGTTGTCTTAGTGTATCATTTTAAGTGGAAAATACGTAGTTAAAACGTTGTCTTGGAAACGTTATTTTAATGTATGATTTTAAGTGGGAAATACGTAGTTAAAACGTTGTCTTGGAAACGTTGCAGAATTGTATTGCTGGAAACGTTGCAGCAACGTTCCAAATCCCACGTTTAGATACATAAAATTATTTCTAAGTCCCGACGAAAATTTTTTTACTGAGGATTTTTTTTTCAATTTTTTTTTATTATACATTACTTATAAAAGTAAAATAAAACCCTTCAACACATTTTTAAAGTCATATTATCAAAAATATGACCGAAATACACAAAACCCACTTTGAAACAACGTTGCAGAATTGTATTGCTGGAAACGTTGCAACAACGTTCCAAAACCCACGTTTGGCTACATAAAATTTTTTCAAAGTCCCGACGAAAATTTTTTTACTGAGGATTTTTTTTTCAATTTTTTTTTATTATACATTTCTTATAAAAGTAAAATAAAACCCTTCAACACATTTTCAAAGTCATAATATCAAAAATATGAGCGAAATACACAAAACCCACTTTCAAACAACGTTGCAGAATTGTATGCTAGAAACGTTGCAACAACGTTCCAAAACACACATTTAGCAGCATAAAATTATTGTAAGTCCCGTCGACAAATTTTTTAATGTGGATTTTTTTTAAATTTTTATCCTTTGTAACATTAATAATAAAAGTAAAATCAAACTATGCAATACAATTTTTAAAGTCATAGTTTCAAAAATAAGGCCGGAATACACAAAACCCACTTTCAAACTACGTTGTAAAATTGTATTCTAGAAACGTTGCAGCAACGTTCCAAAACACACATTTAGCAACATAAAATTATTTTAAGTCCCGCCGGCAAATTTTTTAATGTGGATTTTTTTTATTTTTTATAATAAATTATTTATAAAAGTAAAATCAAACTCTGCAATACATTTTTTAAAGATATAATATCAAAAATACGATCGAAATACACAAAACCCACTTTCAAACTACGTTGTAAAATTGTATGCTAGAAACGTTGCAGCAACGTTCCAAAACACACATTTAGCAACATAAAATTATTTTAAGTCCCGTCGAGAAAATTTTTAATGTGGATTTTTTTAAAATTTTTAGTCTTTGTAACATTAGTTATAAAATCAAATTTAACTATGCAATACAATTTTTAAAGTCATAGTTTTAAAAATAAGGCCGAAATACACAAAACCTACTTTTAGATACCTAAAATTATTATAGTTTCAATAAAGGTTTACTATCGTAGTTAGGTGATGGAACAACAGAGGTTACACCATAGTATTATCACAAAATTCTGTGGTATTATTTCTATGGGAACAAACGAAGAAAAATTCAAATTTACCGCTCTATCACGAAGTGTTTATTTCTTTATTTTAGGTTAAGTGTTGACATCGTGCGAAATTTTGTGCAAATTCTTCCGTGTTTTTTGGAAAAATAATTAAAAGATAAGGTAATTTTTATCTGATAGGGATGGCAAATAACTTTTAGTAACCTAAACAATCACCACAAACAATTTGTTAGTGTTTTTTTTAAACAGTTGCTTTTTGCATGGATTTTTAGGGTTATTTGGACGATGCCTTATGTAAAATAAGTTTTGTTCTGTGACGATGCCTTAAAAGCATAAACATGTTCCTGGAACAGTGTATCAAAGAAATTATCACCCAGAAAATATTGAATTGGCCGTGGCAGAGGTGATAAACAATCGTCTATCCTTTGGGTAGATTGCAAGTGTATACACTATACATCATTATAATGATTACATCTGCCACAGATGATCTGCGGATAATGGATAATCTTTTGCAAGACAAGATACAAAAGAGTGCAGTCATATCTAAACCACAAAGCAGTGATAATTAGTTGTTTTAAAGAAAACCTTCCTGGCAATGACTGGCTAAATTCTTTCCGGAGGCAAAAATTGTGATTACTCAAAGGAATGCTAAAAATCTAAAAAGATCCAGATCAGAAGTTCATGATGATGTGATAAACCAATATTTTTTCAGAAGTAAAGGAAATAAGGGATGCTTTGCCAGCACCTGGTTACCCAGGGAAACAACAAAATGTTGTGAAAAAAGGAAACTCAGAATATTAAACTATTTTTCAACTTTTCTAATGTTTGCTGACACTGGAGGAGATCATTTACCATTGTGTGTTGGTTACCAGCCAAATCTATTAGATTTTTTTTAACAATCAAAGGTTCTTAATAATTTTTATATTAATAAATTATATCCATATGTAAATCAATTTTAGGTCACAATCTTTTGCATTTAATAAATAAATTTGTATACTATACAAAATCAATTTTAAAACTTTCAAGTGTATAAAAAAATATAGGCAAAAATACTATTTTTGCTTGTATTTTTTCCTTTTAATGCTTGTGCTCTAAATTTTTATTCAAAAGCAAAAATCCTCACATTTTTTCTTATATATTCGTAATTGCTAAAATTTATTTTGCCAAGCATCAAAACCCTTAATGAAAATTAAAAATTTGTGACTTTAAACTCACCTTTATTGTTAATTGTTTTATTTAGACTTATATTTTAACTAGGTAACTACTTAAATTTCTTTGACTTTTTATTTTTGTTGCTTATTTATAATTTGTTTAATCCTTTATTTAGAAAATTTGTAATAATTGTTAATAGGCAATATTTCTTCTCTTTAAAATACCAGCATTGTTATTTTTTTTAGGCCATGTTTTAAGT